CCAGTGAAATAGATGACTAAAAGGAAAACATTCATTTCTGGCAATTGACATTATTAGGTCAAAGTATTTTTTTGAAGTTTTTTTAGTAGGCTCTGTTGTTAAAATAGCAAACTTGCTGTGCTGTAGAATCGGTGTCATGTGCTTTTATAAGAAGAGTTGACTAAAACTCAATTTCTGGCTGGAGAAGATGTTCTCACATGCTTTGTTTTGAATGCTAATTCCTCTGCTTCCAGTGTTTGTGGAGCAAAAGATGAACCAGACAAAAGATGCTTAGCAATGCAAGTTTTAAAAGAAATTATTGAAATGGAGAGGAATATTAAAATTTTCATTAAATCTGTGTTTGAGCATCTCTAAATAAAATGTTCTCTTAACCTTATTTGTGCTTCCATAGTAAGGGTGGCTGTGCTCCTCACATCAGGGTTGGGTCAGAGCCTGGAGAGAAGAGCCTGGAAGACAGGAGCTACCGGCTTCTCTCCTTTCTCCAGGGAGCTACTCCCTCACAGAAAGATTTTTTTTTTATTTTTTTTAATGAAGAAAGGGTGTGGGGATGTGCTTTTTTTCTAAACACCTGAAATAACAAACAGTTGTGTTGTGGTTTCATACCCTGCTTTCAGTCATTCCTGGTTCAGGGGCTTCCAGAGAGCAGGAATCCCTAGTCCCCAGGGGGGTTTTCTGCCATCTATTTGTACAGTTGCTGTTGTAGCCATGTAAATTGTTAGTATTTATAGCACAGTGCGGCAGAGAGCTCTGCAGCTTCACTGTGCATTGCAGAAAGAACTGCCTCCGTGGTTTGTTTTTATGAATAAGTTAACTGATATATTTGCTTATCTGCAAACACAAATCAGCTTGGACATAATTTAATAAATGCCCAAACAGATTCACTTGAGTTTTCCCATTTTCTTATGCAGGAGTGGCTTGTGTAAGCTCAGGTGCTGGTGGGGTCAGGGCTCGTGCCTGTCTTGAGCTCTGGGTTTTGGGGAGTCATCCATTGCAGAACTTGTGGGCTTGGCATTTATTTGCATATATTTACATACAATGTAAAATCTATTTGCACTGTTGTATGTTAGATTGTGTCGTTTTAAAAAAATGTTTTCTGAACATTTGTTACCAAAGCTAGTAAGTGTGTATTTTACTAACTTCAGGAGTTTTTTGCTTTTGCCTTGGCTTTTTAGCTCGGGTATCGCAGTGTTTTCTGATGCTGATGGACATAGTTGATACTTAAAATCCATTCATAAATAAAACCAGCTTGAAACCTCCCAAGGAGCTCTTATTGTTTGTGGGCTCAGTTTTTAAACACTGAGATAGTGGAACTATTACTTCTTAGTCTGCTGTATTTCAGTACTTTGGAGTCTAGATTTCATCATAAGTCATCTTTACTATTAAGCTACATTTCCCAGAAGATCTCACACATTCAATTTTTTAAAATTGATTTATATTTTTCTTTCAGCTTTACCAACAGGGCCGCTTATGCCAGCTGGGTAGTGAATTTTGTGAACTAGAAGTTTTTGCAAAGGTGCTACGAGCTTTAGATAAAAGGTAAGTATCTTAATATATTGATAATTCTCAGTTCAGCTGTTATCTCTTGATCTAGGTTCTGAATTTGGAAGATGTCTCTAATTTTCATGGTCTTTTTAGCCCATCTAATAATAAAACCAGCAGTTGATGGGTGCCCAGCCAGTCCCTGAGCACTGGCAGTCAATAAAGGGTTATCAAGCTGATAGGATCACCCCAGTTTAAAGAGTTTACCTGTCTTTAAATACTCCAATTTGTGGTGTTATGCTCAGAACTTGACTTCTTAAGATCAGATTCTTTAACTGGAGTAAGCTTTGAGTCTTTAGACTTACCTCTGTCCCGTTGTTTGCGTTGTGTGTGATATTAATGGGTTTGTCATTGCTCATTTATCTGCAGTTTCTGTGGGAGTTGTCTGTTAGGGGTGGATATGAGGCTTCTCCCCTTGAAGTTTTAGCTGAAAATGTTGTTTTTCAGTTTTAATATTGTGTGGGCAGCTTGTGTTTTGCTTACACTGGAGGGTGTCCTTGTAAAGAACTCTGTGTACACTCACTCTATTTGTTGGATAATTCAACAACTGTAATCCATTAGCCCCGAGATTGACAATTAGCCTTGTATTCATCTGGTTTGGGTTTGAGAGAGGGTTGGAGTTATTTCTCTGAATCACTACTCATTTGGATTCGTGGCACTCAAGAGCCAACTGACTGCAGTGTTTTAAAAACTTCATGTGTAATCAAATTCTCTTTCCTTTTGTTTCAGACATCTGCTTCATCACTGTTTTCAGGCTTTGATGGACCATGGAGTAAAAGTTGCTTCTGTCCTGGCCTATTCTTTCAGCAGACGGTGCTCCTACATAGCAGAGTCGGATGCTGCTGTGAAAGAAAAAGCAATCCAGATTGGGTTTGTTTTAGGTAACTGGCCATGGTGGGCAAAGTATGATCCTTTCTTTCATGCCAGCTTCAGTTCAGCTAATGCTATTTTTTCATGTCGATGTCTGCTATTGCTTTTTGAAGTGTGGTTTTGGAATGAAATACTTCGAAAACTATTTGGTGTCTTACGAAAGATCTATTTAGATTTTAATGTCTAAGAATATATGGGCTTATCTTTGCTAATTCAAATGTTGCAGGCTTAAAAGCTGTTTGCAGATGTGATGCTTAAGACTTTGTATAATTTTAGTGTTGGTAAGAACTTCTTGACACAAAACTGTAGGAAAACTATGGAAGATCAAAAAGTCAGCTACAGGAGAATTCTTCTACTCTTGTATTTCATGCTTTTCAATTCCAGACTGGAGGGTTTAACCTTGACAGGATTCCCTTCCATAGTGTGCAGCTCTGTGAAATTTGTCAGAATTAGTTTGTGAAATGGAAAAAGGCTTCCTTTGCTTTCACTCTTTTTTTCCTCAAGTTGCTTAGCAAATCTTTCTGTATTTGGCACAGGGAAAACAGAACTAGTATATTCCTGTCTTTATTTTTATTGATATGTAGTCCTCTTACAAGACTTCAGCAAACCCTTTTTGTCTTAAAAAGGTGTTTTGCTGTTCAAATTTCTGTTTGTTCTTGATCTTTTTTTTTTATTATTTTTTCTTTTCCCCAGGAGGGTTCCTATCGGATGCAGGCTGGTACAGTGATGCTGAGAAAGTCTTTCTTTCCTGCCTTCAGTTGTGCACCCTTCATGATGAAATCCTTCACTGGTTCCGAGCTGTGGAGTGCTGTGTCAGGTGAGCTCCCCTCTCCTCCTGTATTTCCTGTGAAATGCACATCCCTGTGTTACCAACTGCCCTGGAGCCATCCAGCTCCAGGTGCTCCTTTTAGTGCTCTGCTGCACCAAAACCCCTTCCCTGGCTAGAGCTGAAAATGCTTGTTTAACACTGAGCCCTGGGGTTTCAACACATAAACTGGAGGCACAATTCAGTGGAAAAAAAAAAAAAAACAACCAAAAAATTGGAAGCACAGTTCAGTGGAAAAGAAAAACCAACCAAAAAAACAACCATTATTTTTCCTTTCTGCACAATATATCGTCGGTACTGACAGTTGGTGCTCCAGCACCTTGGGTTTTTCAAGGGTTTTTGCATGTGAAGGAACGTTTTGTGTTGGTATTTGCTGAAATATTTATTTATATTTACTACAGGAAGAATTTGCCAAATCCTAACACAAATTATATAAGTACAGTTGAGCAGAAATAAAAGGAAAGCACCTTTCCTGGGTCCAGGTTCAGCAAGTTCTCTTGCTCCATGCTGAGCTAGTTAATGATGTGGGGAGCAACTCATGAGAGAGCAGAGTGATAGGATGAGGGGGGACCATTTTACACCAAAAGAAGGGAGATTGAGATGAGATTTGGCAAATCCTAACACAAATGATATAAATACGGTTGAGCAGAAATAAAAGGAAAGCACCTTTCCTGGGTCCAGGTTCAGCAAGTTCTCTTGCTCCATGCTGAGCTAGTTAATGATGTGGGGAGCAACTCATGAGAGAGCAGAGTGATAGGATGAGGGGGGACCATTTTACACCAAAAGAAGGGAGATTGAGATGAGATTTGGGGAAGAAATTCTTTGCTGTGAGGGTGGTGAAACACTGGCCCAGGTTGCCCAGAGAAGCTGTGGCTGCCCCATCCCTGGAGGGGTTCAAGGCCAGGTTGGATGGGGCTTGGAGCAACCTGGGCTGGTGGGAGGTGGCACTGGGTGAGCTTTAAGGTCCCTTCCACCCCCAACCATTCTATAATTATTGCACGTAAAACGACAAGGCACAAATACATAATACAAATATGTGGTTCTCCCACTTCATTGTTTCATATTTTGCTGATTCTTGTTTATTTTTTCTTTTGATACACAGCAGCTTTGGAAGTCTAAAAGTAACAGTGTTTGCTACGTTTTGTACACTCTTAGAGAATTTCTTTGGTGGGGGGGGTAGCTATTCCCCAAAAGCTATTATTGCAGACATCAAAGAAGATTCATAGTTATTAGCATAAATGTCCTGGGGCATTTTTTTCTTTCTCTTGGCTTTATCTCCTAAAATTCCTTTGGATTAATAAAGGATTTTTGTGTTACTCAGAACTGGATCATATAAACTCAGCTTATCCTGGAGGATTGGGTTAGGTTTAGCTTGGTTTTTGGTCGCTCCGGTTGTTTTTGGACACTATCACTGAAGCATCCAGATACTGGATATTATCTTTCCCAGGCGCTTATCTAAATTGCAAAACTCCCTGCTGGCTCAAACCATCCCGTGGGATTTGGGCTTTGTATTTGTGATGTTGCAGAGCAGCTCCCAGTTGGATGGGGCAGGCAAAAGAGGTTCCTTCTTTAGGGAAACCGCACAGGCTTAGTTTTTCTCTCTAGTTCCTTTAAAATTCCTGTCTCTCATTGCTTGAATGTTAGTTTTCTGCTGCATGTGCTCAAGAACAAAATGCTTTTCTACATCGTATTTAGTTCTCAGACCTTATTGAAGGAAAAATGTGGTCGTTGCTTTTTTTCTTTCTGTTCTTGAGCCGTGTTCTGCGTTTCTGGTTGGAAAGCTGGGGTTTGTTTATGTAGTTTGTTTCAGGGGTTTTTTTGAAGGTCTTTTCTTTTGATCTTCCCCTTGCGTGTCTAATGCCCATCTGCTGTGGGCTTTATCCCCTGCCCTTGTGAAAATGTGAACTTTATTTCCTTTCTTGTTGGTGGGTGGGTTTCACAAGACATTTCAATAGGAAGGTGTCGGAGGAGGCCGTGTCAGAGCTGGGCTGAATTTATAGGGCAAACTTGGATGTGTAACTTTGCTCTTGCAGGAGGCAGAGCTCTAATAACTTATAAGTCTCTACTCAGGTAAGTGGTAACAGGAAACAGAAAAGAAACATTTGATCAAAACCCTCACTGTTTCCCCCCCGCCCTGTTTTTTGGAAGATCTATTGTAATATATCATAAAAGATACAAAACACTGTAGCTGTACACTAGCTCACGTTTTTGGAGTTTCAGCCTCTCTTGGCATTACATTCTGCTCCACTTGGTGTGTTTCTCTTCCTGTGTGATGTCGTCCTCCCGATTCGCAAAGGTTTGCCTGATGCTTTTCAATCTCTCTTACTCATTGTCTAATAACAGATTTCCAGGAGGGACAATGGAGCTTAATTGACCAAAATTCCATGTGTGCTAAGTGGCAGGCGTTTGCAACAGAGAAGGAACAGCTGCCTCTTCTCAGCCTGCCATGGGTGGGGATACAATTCTGCCCTTTAGGCTTGGAATATGATAACACACACACTTCTAATCTGTCTCTTTAAAGTAAATAAGCATCAGCTTACACTTAAAAAAAAAAAAACCCAAAATTCTTCTATTTTAAATAGATGACAGGAGCTGCCCCCAAAATTTCTTCTATTTTAAATAGATGACAGGAGCTGAAATGGCTACTTTTCTAGAGAAAGAGGAGTATGTTTCAATAGTGCTCTGGTTTGTTGTCTGCGTTTGGCTGTCGTTTCGTGAAGCTCCTGTTAATCCTTGAGATGGGAGAGGCAGCGGGTTGGAGAATGGGGGGAGAGGGGTTTGTTTGGGGTTGTTGTGAACGGGGTCAACAAAGTAGGGGTTTTTTGGGGGTGCTGAGTCCGTGCTGGATGTCTTGTGGAACGGATGTGATTGAATCCCCTGTGAAAACATCCCCCTAAAACCCCACCCACTTGAGAAGCACTGTGCTACTTCAGGTTTGAGGAAAAAGTGCAGAAGTGCACAAAAAATAGCTGTGTCTGTACTTGGTGTCTGCCTCAGCTTGCCATACTTTGGAAGGGCAGTGGAAGGGATTTAATGCTGTATATTCCAGGGGTTTGAAATGGAATTTTATCAGTGAGAAGAATGGATTTTTATGAAAAGTCAAACGCAAATTCACCACCCTGGAGTGGTTCAGGCGTTGGATATGTAAAACTGCAGCAAGATGTAAAATCACTGGACATCTCCAACAGTAACAGCTCTTGCCGTGCAAGAGGCAAAGTGTGGTGGCTGAAACCATGTTCTGTAAATAGTTCTCCTGTGTTACTGAGGTCAGACAGGGGGATTGTGTTGGGGTGACAGACCGGGTCTGTTGTAAGTGTCATGTCAAACTGTAGATCCTGGTACAGCCGTGGATTGAAATGGTAATGGAAATGGAAATTCAGGCATGGTTTAGATCTCTTTTACCTCTTCCTAAGGCTGCTGCACGTTCGAAACGGTAACTGTAAATATCACTTGGGAGAAGAAACATTCAAACTGGCTCAGTCTTACATGGAGAAACTTGCGAAACACGGGCAGCAGGCGAACAAAGCGGCGCTCTACGGGGAGCTCTGCGCCCTGCTCTTTGCCAAGAGCCACTATGATGAGGTGAGTGGGATTTTGTTGTTGTTTTTCTGCAGAAAACTGGTTATGAAATCTGCTGGGGTGTTCTGCCACAGGCTCCTTATTCACATTGTCTCTCTGGCTGGAGTTCTGGATCTTTTCTGGTACCTCTGCGGCAGCACCAGAGGAATCCTTGATTTATTGACTACTTTTTCTATGTATTACTCTGAGTTAGTCTACAAGCTTTTAATGATACTTTGACCAGCAGTGAGAAATGCTGCAGAATAGGTGGGGAGTATGTATTGGTCATCTGTAAATGAAATATTATAAAACAACCTTAATTTAATGAGTAAAAATAAATAGAACAACACAGGTAACAATTCTTTGGATCTACTTGATGAAAACTGTCTGAAGTGTAACTGCTGCATAAACTGCAGTTTTTCCTTTAGCTCCAAAGTACCATGACCTTGGAGTTGTCCTACACAGTAGGAACTGTGAGAATTACTTAAAGACTATAAAATACCATTTTTTTTTTTTTGTCTGAAAGTCATGGTAATAATACATACCTTAGGCTAGAATAAAATGCTCAAACATTCAGTATTAAACTTAAGAGCGCTTTTTAAGTCTGTCTGACAAGTTGCATTATATGTAATCAATTAAACAGTATTTTCAAAATTTTGTGATGTAAATGAGCACTGTATTTTTCAGAGCCAAGTAATGTTTGAGTTGGAATTTCTCAGTCTAGAGAAATTCCAGCTTCATGATGTTGGTGCCTCTCTGTTCCGCAGGCGTACAAGTGGTGTATAGAAGCTATGAAGGAGATCACAGTCGGGCTGCCTGTAAAAGTAGTAGTGGATGTTTTACGACAAGCTTCGAAGGTGAATTTAAAATCTTTCACGTTTCTTTTGTGGATAAATCGCTACCGAGAGCGGGTGAGGGTAGGTGCTGCCTCCAGGATACTTGGGGAAATGGGTCCATTTCATGAGCCTTTGTGGTCCAACTCAGTCTCAAACCTGTGAGGATTTTGGTTTTTGGGGTTAGTTTTCTTTCTGGAAGGGAGTTACAGCTTTCAAATGAACATTGTGACAGTCAACCTGAGAGTGTTCCCTAAAAAGGTGGTCTGTTCCCCTGTTTGATGCAGACCAGGTACGGTACCAGCCCTTTGGTTGGGCATTTATGCCAGAATAAAATATAAATTTATCCATATGATCTGTGAACCTTTTCTTAAATCACTGAAAAGTCCTTTAGTAACTATGATAGTATTTTGAAATTAAAAATAGTAGTTAGGGACCGTGCTAGTGACTGTAGGAGCTGAGTTTGGAGTGCACACCTCTTCACAGGCTTCGTTTCACCCTGTTCAGGCTTGTGTCGTAAAGCGGGAGTTTAAGAAGGCGGAGCAGCTGATAAAGCACGCGGTGTACCTTGCCCGGTGAGTAGCCTTCCAAAAACACAACCCTTTTAAAATGATGCTTAACTTCCCTCCATTTGTAATATTGAGTGTCTTTCTCCAGGGAGCACTTTGGAGCCAAGCACCCCAAATATTCTGATACTCTACTAGACTATGGATTTTACTTGCTCAACGTAGACAATATTTGCCAATCAGTTGCCATCTATCAGGTACGCGCTGGGACTAAATGCCTTTGGTTTCTCTTGGTATTCATAAACTCCCACGTGTTTTTACTGAAATTCATGTACAGAAAATAGTTGATTTAATTATCACAATGCTTGTTCTTTAAGAAAAAACCCAAAACACCTCCAATTATGGGGTTTTGCTTTCTTTTTTTCCCCCTGGCTTTTATATATTTAATCTAGTAAATTACTTTTTCCCCTTTTTTTATCGATGAGAGATTATTTGGGGGTTTTTCTCTGTATTAACTGATGAGATGGTGTTCTTGTAACTCTTCCAGACAGCTCTTGATATCCGGCAGTCAGTATTTGGAGGTAAAAACATACATGTAGCTACAGCTCATGAAGACTTGGCTTATTCGTCGTACGTTCACCAGTACAGCTCTGGGAAGTTCGACAACGCGCTGTGAGTACGATGGCAGCAAAGGGAGGAAACTGTTCTTAAATGGTACAGACTCTCCAATTAGAATTTAAAGGCATCTGTTCGTTATATAAGCGTTTCTACTATTTTACCACTAAGCTTCTAATGTAAAAATAAGACTCTTGAATTGTTTTTTTTCTTTAACCTCTTTTAGATTCCACGCTGAACGTGCTATTGGCATTATAACTCACATTCTCCCAGAAGACCATCTTCTGTTGGCGTCTTCAAAGAGAGTTAAAGGTAGTTCCCTGGGCTGGGTTACTGGGACGGGCTGAAATCAGTCCTTCAGATGTTTATCCTGTTCCCCCACAGAGACAATGTAACTCCAGTTGGTTTGGGTTTTTTTTTTTTTTTCAAATGGAGGTCCCTGGAGAACACTTGCAGTCCTCGGTGTTCCCTGTCAACACACTTGTAAAATATAAAGAAAAAACTAACCCTTAGCCAGAGGACTGGGGGTGGAAGTAAAAATACAGAATATAAAAACATGGTGGGAGCTTGATCTGTTCATACCGTTCACAAACAGTTTGTAATAAACAAAAGCCTGATGAGATGTCTCCTGAGATGGCCCGGGTGGTGGTTTTCTGCTGCCCCCAGTGACCATCTCCCTGTGGTTGGAGCATGGTAACGTTGTGGTTGTGTCTCCTGTGCCCAGCACTTATCCTGGAGGAGATCGCCATAGACTGTCACAACAAGGAGACGGAGCAGAGGTTACTGCAGGAAGCCCATGACTTGCATCTCTCCTCACTCCAGTTGGCTAAAAAAGCCTTCGGGGAGTTCAACGTGCAGACAGCCAAGCACTACGGCAACCTTGGGAGGCTGTATCAGTCCATGAGGAAGTTCAAGGTGAGGTTATATTGATGGAAAGGGCTTGACTTGAAATCTGCAAGACATCTGTAAATCGCAAGTGATGATTTTCAGTGTCTCCATTTCAAACTTCAGGTGTTCATTTTATAGTTGGAAAAGTTGTACTTTATAATTAATCTCTCCAAAGCTTAGAGCAAAAATAATTTGTTAAGAGGCCTGATGCCTTCAGAAACAGATTTTAAAGACAGAAAACGTGATACAATTTGCTGATCCACCTCACTGAGAATTTGGACAACTTGATTTGGCTTTGGCTTTCTTACTTTTTTTTGGTCTTTTTTATAAAATACTAGAGCCTATTTAGCCACTACATATTTATGTTTCTTTAAACCTTTTTCCCTTGGGGTGGTGTCTGACTGACCTGTGTGACTCTGCCCCTGGCAGGAAGCAGAAGAGATGCACATCAAAGCGATTCAGATCAAGGAGCAGCTTCTGGGCCAAGAGGATTACGAGGTGGCGCTGTCCGTGGGGCACCTGGCTTCGCTCTACAACTACGATATGAACCAATATGAAAATGCTGAAAAGCTTTATTTGAGATCCATAGCGATTGGTAGGTGGTTCTTAAAATGTATAATTACATACAGAGATTTTAATACTACAGGAAACTGTGTTTAAAAGCGTATTAAAGTTTTCATACAGAACTTAGTAAAATGCAAGATGTTTATTTAGTATGTGGTTTCAGTCTAAATATAATGCTTTTTCTTGACTGTTCCTGGAGACAGAATCCTGGAATTGTATTACTTTTCTAAGCTCCATCAGAATTTGCTCTTGAAAACATCTGGAAGCTGACAAATTAAAAGCTTGGGTTTTAGTCTTTAGACAACATTTCAGAGTTGTAGCTAGAACTTAAGTGCAGAAAGTAGTTAACAGTTTTCCATTTCTTTCAAAATTTGTGCCCATCAGCCTAATTATACTCTCATTAAATATTTTTTTGCCCATTATGGTTTGCAGTGAAATTACAATTCCAAATCAGATGTATCAGATCTTTGGGCTGTGCTGTAGCTCGGTTTTGAGACAGATAATCCTACCTCATACAGTTATGTACAGTCCCTTACAGAAAAAAAATACGATTTCAAGGTAGAAAGTTGAAAAACAACTTGACTGTTTAAATTTGGAGTGAAATGGAGACACTCAATGACTGTGCTTTATGATTGGTATATTTTTTTCTGCCTGTAAAGCTGTGGCACAGTTGGTGATCTGATGGTGGGGTCCCTGGGGACAGGTTACAGCATCCTGAGAGGAGAAGGTAGATGGGATTCAAACTGTCCCCCAGGAAACTTGTGTTCTTGATTTATTGTTACAAAAATGTGATGATTTGCCATAAGAAAACCATTCGTGTTGTTGGTAAAGATGTCGTGAGAAATCGGGTGCTGGGTTACCTTTTAAATTTTGTTTTCTTCTGGATTTCTTTAGGAAAGAAGCTTTTCGGTGAAGGATACAGTGGACTTGAATACGATTACAGAGGTCTCATCAAACTGTACAATTCCATTGGCAATTACGAGAAGGTTTTTGAATACCACAATATTTTGGCCAATTGGAACCGGTTGCGGGATCGGCAGTTCTCAGTGACAGATGCTCTGGAGGACGTAAGCACCAGCCCTCAATCCACTGAAGAAGTGGTCCAGTCTTTTCTGATGTCTCAGAACGTTGACGGACAGAGTAGTTAAGAACTCGGTCAAATTAACCAGTTTAAGGTTTTTTTTTTTCCCCCCCCAGGTTACAGGGGGAAAAGTCATACTGTGAAATCTAAACCATGTAGTTCTCTGGGGGCTGGAATTTGCATTGAAACACTGGTCCAGTCTGCTGAGGAGTGCCCATCCGGATGAATGTGTGTTAAATTCCTAGCAGCATGTGTATGGCATGTTTAGTTCGGCTCACATTTTTAACTCGGTATTCCTGAAAACCCCTGCTTTTTTTTTTTTTTCCTCTCTTCTTTCAAAAGAAGCTACTTTGCAGAAAAGCCTGCAAGGAAACATTAAATAAAACTGTTTGAGTTCAAAAGAGTTGCATTCTTATTACCAATGGAAGGTTTCACCAAGAGTTGTCTTCTGAGACGTAGGAGGAATAAATGCCGTACCGTAGGAGTTAAACCAGTGAGGTCTTGCTGCCGTGTGCGTTGTGGCAAAGTTCATCCCAAATAGCAAGAAAAGGGAGAAGGGCCTGACCTCGGCTGCTGCTTTAGGGAGAAAAGTGGCAAAAGACCCACTTGGGAGAGCGACGTCCTCTTAGGTTGTTGTAAATCCCCCTGAACTGGACCAGTGTTCATCCTGTAAGAGAGAGAGGAATCCTGTAGAGCAGCGACCTCCGGTACCACCCGAGAGTGTGACCCTCCCCAGCGGGACCAGGAACAGCCAGAGTGGACCAGCCTTTGCTAGAAAACAGTTCTCGGACCAGTGGCTTTAATTGACTATTTCTGCCCCTGCACTCACCTTCTTACGGTAGAATTCCTTTCATTTAGATGTATGATCAGTGCAAAACTATATTCATGTAATAGATGCAAAACTAGGAAGTGAACGTTCGTTAGCGGTTGCGATGGCATGTCTGTACCTAGTGAGCTTATGGATATTAATGGCAGTGCCACGGGCAAAAGCTAGAAATGCTTGACTATTTGCTGCAGCCATCTCTTTTTTTATTTTTTTTTTTTTTGACTGGGCTTACTCGCATAATTGAGGCAGTGACTTGTTTATACCGGTGAATAGTTTTGTATTACAATCCAGTTCCATTTTATGTTTCTGGAGAACACAACTTCTTGTACAGTTTGCAGGGGGCAGTGGAAAATGCCAAAAAGCACAACAGGTCTCTCTTTTTTTTTTTTTTTGTGATGCTTCATTTCTATATTAAACAATAGTACAACCAGAAACCGATTCCTTTATATTAATTTAAAAGCAGAAGCCAGCTGTACAGACCCTTTACCAATGCCTGTCTCACTAGCTTGTCTTAATTTTAATTCTCTTGGGGGCGGGGGCTGCTTGGTTGTGTGTGGGTTTTTTGTTTATTTGGGTGGTGTTTTGGGGTTTGGGGTTGTTTTTTGTTTTGTTTTTTTAACATTGAGGTAATACTCGTTTGAAAGTCTGTGTAATTTTGCAAACTAGAACCGAGTGGCTGCTGTTACCTCAGTTCTTTCAGCGGCACAGACTGTTCCTGTCACCTTTGGGGGTCTCTCCTTTCCCCCCCAACCCTATTTTTAGGGGGTTGTAACTGGGCCCTGGTGGGTGAGTCCAGGCCAAGGCTCAGTGAGCACTGGGACCTGCGGGGCTTGGACTGGGATGGTTGTTTGGGGTCTGGTTTTTAATTTGTTCATGGAGTTTGGGGCAGGGAAAGCCACTTGTTGCTTCTCAAAAAAGAGCACAGAGAAGAAATTTCCATTTCAGACACGACTTTGAGCTTCACGGCTCTTTTAGGAACTGAAATTTTACAGGCCAGTAGTTCATATCTTGGTGCCTTTGAGTATATTTTGGGGGGAAAGGCTGAATAATACCAACTTTCAGTGCAGTTAGGTAATTAGTGAATGCAGACTTTATTATTGCATACTTGGAATATCTTCCCTGGTGTGAAAAGAAGTATTTGCATAAAAAACCCCTGTGGTATTAACAGACTGCAGTTTATTCTCAATGGCTGTTCGGTGAAAATCCAACTTAAAGTTGTGTGGATTTAAAATCTACTTTTTTATAGCAATTCTTGTTGATGACTGCTTTAGGTACTGCAGCCAAATTGAGCTCTCTTCAAGGCAAAATGTTTTCATCCTCAAGTGCCCATCCAGCAGGGCAGTGATGAATTATACAGTTCTTACGAATTCTTTTCCTTAAGTCCTGTTAAAACTATTCAAAATGAAGTGTGTGATGTCAGAACTTAGGCAGGGAAGGTTTGCCTAAAATTGTCCTGAAGAAGCTCTGTAACTTCTGCAGTGCAGAAGTGGTTAAAATCTCCCGACGGGGTACCTGGATTTAGACTTTGATGTTTTCTGGAGAGGGTTTGTTTGCTCGGGGCTTCCCCTCTTGGGTCTCTGTCTCCAGCTTTGGATTCAGGAATGTCCAAGATCTCGAGGTTTTGTGTTTGGGAGGAGGAGTGTTATTTGGGGGATACCGGTGGAAGTGGTTTATTTACAGGAACCACTGCTGGTGTTTCAGCTCTGGTTTGTGATGGTTCTGTGGTTTCCCTTCAGGTTAGGGCAGGCAGGAGGTGTTAACGCTTCTCTCTGACCAAATGCACGTTGTTTAATCGGTAGCTTTATTTTCAGCTCCAACTGGGTGCAGGTATTGTCCTTTCCTTCCTAAATCTGCTCCGCCAGCACCTTGTCTGCTTTGGTGCATTGGCTTGTCTGGAAGGAATGAAGGTCCCAGAAGTCACCCAGAGATCTCTTTGGTGGTGGACCCTGGCCAGGGTGGTGGCAGTGATCCCTGTAGCGTGTGCTTTTTGTGTCACTCAGATCCTGAGGTGATTTTTGGGTTGAACTCTTCGTTGTAGCATCCCCACAGCTCCTGTCCTGCCAGGGCAGGGCAGTTCTGGAGACAAGCAGCTGGGCATGAAGTTGTTAAAGCCCGGGAGGTTTTGCAGAACAACTTTTTGCAGCTGCCCCCAAACTGCTCTGTTCCCTGCTCTGCTGCAGCCTGGGACCTCCCCCTCCTGCTGGGAGAGCTTGGAGCCTGCCACTCAAGCAGCCAACTATGAAATACTAGATAAAGTTAATTAATTATTGGCATTTTCTAGATGTACAGTGTGCCTGCTGCTTGCTGAGCAGGTGCTGGTTGGTGCTGACATTAAAGGGGGAGACCTGGGAGTGAAAATCCAGGGAAATCCAGGAAATATCAGCTGACTTTTTTTTTTTCTTGAAGGTAAGTAATAATTAATCACAGCAGATTAATTGGATGCAAGTGGTGAGGACAGGTGAGGATGTTTTCCCCCTATAAGGAAAATTTTAAGTATTGTTTAAATCAAACCTGTAATGTTTTATTTGTGGCCTGAAGTTGTTTGGGTGGGTGGTTTGTGTGTCCTGTTTCCCTGGAAGGTTTGTCCAGCTCAGACCTTTCCCTTGAGGAAGGAGAGGTCGGGATCCCTCTCCTCTCCTGGATGACCTGGCAGGGGAGGAAAAGTACACAAAGATGTTAAGAGCTGGCAAAAGGGGAAAGTTGCAGGAAGATATTTGAAAATAAATACATCCCTCGGCTACTTGAAGTTAACCATCTAGTGACTATTTGGCCCCAAACAGTAGTTTGGTCACTTTAATTGTGACCAATTACAGCCGGTCGGTGTCTGCCCCGGGGTCCTGGTCACACTCTGCGCCGGATCCACATTTAGTGTTTTAAGACTTTTTATTTTATTTTTTTGCACATGTTTTTTTGTTAAAGAATTTTGAAGGGTTTTTGTTGTTGAATTCTAACTTATTTAGGACAACGATGTTGTTTTGTAACTTTACAAATGAAGTTTTTTCTTTAAATGTGCTGCGGTCTGAGACTTGCTAAAGGTGCCATTGCGCTGCTTCTCGTGGTACAGAAAAAAAAAATGCACATTTAACTCGATTTCCTTTTTCTGGCCCTACACATTGGTTAGAGCACAAAAAGGAAAACGCATCGTGCCTAAAACAGGATCGAAGCTGTTGAGCTCTTGACAAAAAAACTTCCCTTGATTTCCTTGGAGGGGGTTTGACTGCTCAGACTCCTCCCTCCCTGCTGCTCCTGTGCAGGAACCTTAGTTTATCTGAAGGTCACTGTTTTTCTGTCCTTTTTTTTTTTTTTTTTTTCTTTTTATAATAAGAAAATTCCCGGCCAAACGTGGCCCAGTGAGGATTTCTGGGGAGAAACAGGGAAGAAAACTTCCTTTAACCCAGGAATAAAACGATACATTTTGATTCTCCTCAAACTCGGCGGCCCCGGTGAGGCTTTTGTCCCTAAATCTCAGGAATGTTTTGGGCAGTGGAAGAGGTTTCCTGTGGGTGATACAGAGGTGTGTGCTCTGGGGTCTTGTTTCACGCTGTTGGGTTGCAATCCTAGGTATCCATAGCATGAGTGGCCTTAGTGAGTTTGTTGAAGTGCACATTTTTTTTTTTCTTCTCTCTCTCTCTCTTCTCAAAAGTAAATTTTAAGATGAAAAAAAAAAGATATATACTATATAAATATATAGAGATATTTAGAAAACTTGGTTTGTGGTGCACAAGTTCAGTGTTGGATCGCTAAATAATCGTCGCAGGTACCATTTGTGTAACTTCTTTCTTTTCTGTATATTCCTCTCTGGGAAGCGGTGTTGCCATGGTAACCACACCTTTACGGTTCCTTTACTACTTCATGATGTGAACGAACTCTACATTTTATTGAATATTACCAGGTTCAGTACTATTTTTATACTTTATTGAACTACAGGGGATTTTAATTTAATAGCATTTTAAAAAAAAGAAAAAAAAGATGTTGCTTGAACTGTATAACTGTATAAATTGACCGACTGACACAAACCCCCCCTCGGACGCGCGATCTCCACCTGTAGTGCCACCTCCATTGCTCTGAGAGTCTCTGGGTCCTCACGAGGCTCTGGAAGTCCCACCCCTACTTGTCGTGTCCAGACTTTTGAAGGTTTCGTATCCTGCTTCTCCCAGACTGCAGTGCCCACCGTTTCTTTGTAACCATCAAACCATCCGATGTTTGTAACCAGCATTGTGATATTCTGTAACTGTATCGCTACGATGAAATATTGACCTAATAAATATAGTGGTTCCCGCAGTTTTTGAAGTATCTCCGTTGAATTTGATTAAGCTTTGCCTTCAACAACTGACCTGCCCTTTTTCCCCACTTTCCCCCACCCTGTCATCACCTTTAACAGTGGGTGTGTCTGGTTTTTAAGGGTAAGTTAGAGCGAGGCTGGAGGTTGAGTTGACCTGAGCGTGGTTTCTGGGTGCTGCAGTGGGTTCCCCATGGGTCTTTGTTCATGGATCAGCTGATTTGCCAACGTCACCTTCATTCTGGGGCCTCCTGATGAACTTGAACAAAGGCAAGTGTCGGGTGCTGCCCCTGGGGAGGAATAACCCCCTGCACCAGGACAGGTTGGGGGTGACCTGCTGGAGAGCAGCTCTGAGGAGAAAGACCTGGGAGTCCTGGTGGACAACAGGATGCTCAAGGCCAATGGCATCCTGGGGGGTATCAGGAAGATACAGGTGGAGGGAGGTCATCCTGCCCCTCTGCTCTGCCCTGGGGAGGCCCCATCTGCAGCACTGGGACCAGTTCTGGGCTCCCCAGTTCCAGAAGGACAGGGAACTGCTGGAGAGGGGACAGCAGAGGGCTACAAATATGATGAGGGGACTAGAACATCTCTCTGATGAGGAGAGGCTGAGGGACTTGGGGCTTTTCAGTCTGGAGAAGACAGGGGGGGAACTGATCAACGCTTATAAATACTTATAGGGAGGGTGTCAGGAAGATGGGACCAGTCTTTTTTCAGTGGTGCCCAGGGACAGGACAAGAGGAAGGGGGGGAACTGATCAACGCTTATAAATACTTATAGGGAGGGTGTCAGGAAGATGGGACCAGTCTTTTTTCAGTGGTGCCCAGGGACAGGACAAGAGGAAATGGGCACAGACTTGACCGTAAGAAGTTCCACCTAAACATGAGGAGGAACTTCTTTCCTGTGAGGGTGGCAGAGCCCTGGCAGAGGCTGCCCAGGGAGGTGGTGGTTTTCAAAGGAAAAACGCCTTTAAACCCCGGTCCAGCTGTTGGGAGGCAAAGTGCAACTGGAAGATGCTGGTGAGGAACCCAGGTGAGCTCTCTGTGCCACACTCACCTCCTCTGAAGCGAGGGTGACTCCGGAGGTGGTGCGTGAGGCTGAAGTCCTCCAAGCTGTGGCAGTGCCCTTTGCGGTAGTGTAGCCCGATAACGTCGTATCCGTGCAAATTTAAATGGGTGAAAGATGCAAGTCCCCGGGTGCCTGCGTGTGTTCCTGCAACTTTCCCAATTCTTTCCCTTTTCCCCAGGGAAACACTGATGTTTTGGGAGTGCTGAAGCCAAACTACCGAGCACAAGCCAACAACGGGGGACTCAGTAAAAGCTGGTGTGAAGGAAGAATGAACAACAGCAAAACCCCAAACTTTTCCTGCCCAGGTAAAGGTAACTTGCTGTTGAAAATGCCTTTATGAGGCCATAATGCTGATTTTTTGGGGGATTTATTAAATCAAGCTGGGTAAAAGCTGCCTCCCAGGAATGACTTTCTTCCCCTGGTCAGTCTGCGCAAAGTCCAAACCCCTGACATCAGCAAGGATCATGCTCTTTCTAGATCTGATGAAATGTGACAATTCCCTCATCCTGGCCTGAGGCAAGCTGCTGGGGGCAGGCTGGTTTCTTTCTGGGTTGGGTTTGGGGGTTTTTAAGCATTAAGAGAAATGCTTCCTTGGACTTTCTGAAGCTGAGAATGCTCTTTCTGGCTGGCAGAGAGTCCAGTGCATCTCTGGTGGGGACGGCTGCTGTCCTGGAGGTGGCCATCCCAGGGTGAGTGGCTGCCACGTGGTGTCACAGCTGTGGGCAGTACAACTTCTGCTTGTTCCTGACATCTTTTGTTTCTCATTGAACAAAATTTCTGCTCTTTATGGCACAAAATGTGTGCTTTACTGTCCTGAACTTAGCCATCAACAGTGACCTCTGCTTAGATCTCCTCAGGCCGTGGTTTGGTGGGGGAAACGCATCCCAGGGTGAGTGGCTGCCACGTGGTGTCACAGCTGTGGGCAGTACAACTTCTGCTTGTTCCTGACATCTTTTGTTTCTCATTGAACAAAATTTCTGCTCTTTATGGCACAAAATGTGTGCTTTACTGTCCTGAACTTAGCCATCAACAGTGACCTCTGCTTAGATCTCCTCAGGCCGTGGTTTGGTGGGGGAAACGGGATTTTGTGTCTCTTCTTTTCTTTTTTTTTTTTTCTTTAGTTCTACATCATGCATTGACACTTCATAAAACGCACGAAAATCGTACTTTTCTTAAGAGCCAAAGCCCAGGTTGTGCAACACTTCCATGAATTCCCTGATGCTCCATTTAAACGGAAAAGAGCAAAGAGGCTGAGTGAGGAAATGTGCGTCGAGCGCCACGAGCCGCGCGGTTGTGCAAGTCCACCCTGGTGGCACCGCTGCTGCTGGGTCCCAAACTGGGACCGCAGGAAAAAGCCCCCCCTGTGACATGGGGTGAGCAGCACCCAGGCACCCTGTAGCTTACACCAAGGGGTTTTGAAGCAGGGAGCTCCCAAGGTGAAATCTTTTCTCTTCCCTTTCTTTGCTCCCATCAGGAAACTCGGCGTGTTTTATTTCTGGCAGAGCTCGCTTTTCCTTGAGAGCTTTCCTGTCGCTTTTGTGTCACCTCGAGTCCGACCGGAAAAATTGTAGAATAATCCAAGTCTCGAGCAGGCTTTAATCTTGCTCAGTTTCGTCTTAAACAAGTGTGACATTTTGAGGGCATACAGTATTTTTCTGATGCAGCTGCATGTGATGCTACACGTGGTTTATGCAGCGTGTGCTGCGGGGAAAGCTCAAAGCCTTTGCCTAAAGGAAATATTCCGTTATTCTAAGGAAAATTCCTTGTGTTCTGCTGCTGAGCCAGGCCTGCACCACACAAGTGGTGAGGATTCCCCAGTATAACTCTGTGTCTGCTCTTACATGCAGTGAGACCCACCACGAGAAGCCCAATCTCTGGGCTGGTGAAGGCAACGTGTGACATCTTCCCTCACTGCCTCTCCTGGAGACTCTGCCGTGCGGGCTTGGCAGCGGTGGCTCCGTGGGCAGCACAGCCAGGGCCTTCAGTTTCTTGCCAAGGTCTGTGGACGTGATCCAAGATGCCATTTAAAAAGGAAATCTGTTGTCTTGATGCTAAAAATAGCCTTCCAAAGGGATCTAGAAGGGATTATTTTTTTGCTTTGGTTCAGATCTGAAGGCAATAAGGAAGCCCCCGTCCCAACCATCTGATTTTTAGCATGTAGAAAGGAAGGGTCTTTGGTTTGTTGGTTGCTTTTTTTTTTACTGGTCAGACTAAAGATTTCCATGCCAAGCTATTGATGTTTCTGATGTTTTCTTAAAACCTGGATTCCACAGTAAATCAAATCTAGCCAACCCTAATGCCCAAACCAGCCAGTTTTGTTACTGCTTTCTCTTCTTGCTATTCCTGTCCTGGAGCATCATCTCGCAGATGAGTCCCTTCCAGCAGCAGCAGCAGCCAAGCAGGGCTCCAGCCATCTCCGTGTGGATCAATGGATCCAGAGCTGCTGCAGCTGCCAGGAGCCCTGATGAGTGCACGGGCTCGTGGCTGGTGTTTGCCTGGAACAGTCAGAAATGGCAACTGTATGTGTAGAAGTTAGAAAACTTTTTTTTTACTGGCATATATTCTGTACAGCAGTCTCTCCCCTTCCTCTTCTGTTGTCTCCTCTCCAGTTGGCATGGCTGCTGACCATGTGCAGATGTTTGAGTAGAAATGAGGGGGGAACAGACCCTGCTCTCGTCAGAAGAGGGTTTCTACCACAGAAAGGACAGGAGCAGCCACCTGCTTCCTTATCAACACTGTTCTTCCATTATTGGGGTTTATACAAAAAAAAAAGTGAGGCAATGAAGGTAGGTCTCATACTTACACATCCCCCATGAAGTCTCGCTGCTGGTGCACAGCTGTTAGGAAACTCCAGGATAATAATAAGGAAGATCATACGGTTTAAAATTGCAAAATTTTAATTTTGCTTGGGTTGTAGCTTGTTGCTATGACGCTGCAAGTATTTCGGTAACTTGTGGTTTCAGGAAACCATGGAGACTCTCTTTGTTCCCTGCTTTTTGTTGAGGTGAAGATACTGTATTAAATGATTTCTGTCTTTCTGTTGACCTCCGAAGTTGTCTGGGAACCTTGAAAACAAAAAGAAACCCACAAAGTAAATGGAAGGCATAACTCCTCTGAGAAGTTATATATCCTACAGGAGCTGATACTGGTGTGTCCATGCTGTGCTCTGGGGGCTTTACTGGGGGGATTCTGCTTATGGTTCAACCCCACAAATACGTTGTCACCAGAAATACATAGGAGCACCAGGGTGGTTGTGATGGCTCGGCACCTGGGCTCTCATCAACCAGCAATCCCAGCCCCTTGCTTATCTTCATTACATTTCAATTGCGCTAATTTTTTAGTATTTCATGCACTTTGTGTCTCTGGTGTATTTATCTACGTAAGAATGGCTCGGGTGGCATTTCCCCATCCTTCCAGGGGAGCAGACAGGCGGAGGAGGATCGCCTGGAGCCGCACAGCCGGCAGGTTAGTGTGGGCCTCCCTCCCACTCAGCCTCCCGGATCACGCCGTCTCACTAGCTCTTGGTTTTTTTTGACTTTTAGTTTGTCAATTTGGATTTTAAGTGCTCCCTTAGAGCTGTTACGTACCAGATTGGACTTTTTTTTAGAGGTAAACAGAGAGACTGGGGAGAAAAGAGAGGAAAAGCGAGATGGTTATGAGTGCACGAGCACTCCCACAGGACATGTGACTGCATTTTAGCAGCTTGAAAATAGGCTTATGTGGGACAAATCCTCCTGCTGCAGGCAGGCGGTGGCACCTGGCTGTGGCAAAGCCCATCTCATCACCAATTGCTTCTGCTGTCCCTCTTTCATTTCTCAGTCAGGGTTTGTGCCTGTTGGAGCTCTGGCTGGAGTAAACAGGCTGCCGGTGACTCCGGCACCAAACACGCCTGCGACAGGTTGGTCTGCATTTTTGCTACAGAAGACAAACCTGTGTGGCTTTGCCAGGGTGGGCCCAAAGGCAAACCACAGCTATGTTTGAGCAGCCAGATTGCTATGTAAAGACACGTTAATTAACACCAACTGATGTGGGCCAACAAAGGGTTGTCTTCTCCTTCCTTACTACCGCCTTATGCTAGAGGAGCTTTTGCTGCTGTGTTTCCTACTCCCGTGTCTGAGACAGCAGTTCCACCTGCCCAACTCTAGTGGAGTGGAGCTCCACCACCCATCACTTCGTCACCTGCTAGTCAAAAATGCCAAGTGTGGGTGGCTCTACTTGAGCAGGAAAAGGCTTTTTTCCTGCTCGGTGCCAAGATGACACTGGCTACACGGGTGCCACTGCTGGGATGTGACTTTGAAGGTGTGTTGGTGGTATTTGTCTCTGACCTGGGTGTTCCTGCAGGTCTCCCGTACCTCTGTGGAGACCCCAGATGAGGTAAAGCTGCTGCAGTTTCTCTTCTTTGAGTCCTGGAAGCAAATCTGTGTTTTCCGAAGGACAGCATAATTGCTTTAAAAAAAAAGAAAGAAAAAAACAAAACAAAAAAAGCTTTTAAAGATATTTATATGAGCAAATGCCACACACAAGCTTTAAAAGATATTTATATGAGCAAATGCCACACACTGACTCATGCTTGGGCAATGACTCTTGCTTAACTGTGGTCCTGTTGGGTGACAGCAGCAACGAGCTGAGGAATGACTGTACTGTCTGCACAAGTCCTCGCCCTGAGAAGTGTTTGTTCCTCGCAGGCGAGATCTGAGGCTCCATCCCACCCAGCAGTGAGCCCTGTTGGCCTCTGCCAAGCCACCTTTTCTGTGCTGTCCCTGTCCCCCTGCACTGATACCTAGCCCAGTCTGCCCAAACACCTAAAAATCTGTTTTTTAAAGCAAAAACCCTTCCCAGCAGACTGGTGAAAGAACGACAGTTTCCCAGGTGCGTTGGGGAGACGGTCGGCAGCGGATGGTGCCGTTTTGTGGCTGTGTTCAAACCAAAGCTCAGCCATCTGTGATGGGATGTGGGTGCTGCTCAGCCCCACCACCCCAGGCAGGGTGGGGGTGCTGTGGATGGGTGTGCGCTGCCACTGGATGTCACTGTCGCTTTATGGCACTTTTATATGCACCGGCAGGACGGCAAGGGACACGATGGGTCCCTGTGCTGAACATCCAAAGGGTGGTGGGATGGCACCGTGGAGCTTACACTGTGCTGAGCAGCCCCAGGGGCAAAACAAATTTTTGTGTTGCCAGTGGTCATGCTGTTTGCTTGTTGTTTTTTTTTTTTTAAACTTCCAGAGTTTCAGCCCTGAAGTCTTATTTCTTTACTCTCTGAAGCTGAGGTGTGGGGCTGATTGCCACAGCTTTCGGCAGCGGAGCCAGATTGCAAAGGAAGATGATGCTCTGTTCTAGCTCGAAGCTGAGAAGTGGATTTGGTCTGGTATTTTCAGTAAGTCTAAAAACAGGGAGTTGGGACCCGTGTTTAAATTCAGATGTGTTTTGGGTTTGGGTTTTTCTTTTAATATATCTATATTAAAAAAAAAAAGGCCTAAAAGCCTAAATAGGGATCTATGTCCACTTCCTTCCCAATTTTAAGGTGACTGGCGAGCGAGGCAGATGGCTGCTCACTAGCATCTCTCCTTTAACAAAACTCTCAAAATTATCAAATTACCATGCTGGAAAACATCGCTTACTAATCACATATTGATTCTGTATTTTTATGCTCGCTCATCTAAATAACAAGGCGTTTCCAAATAATCTATTTCTGTTGCGCCGAGCGCGCTGGTTCCCCCTTCCCCTTGGATCCGCAGCCTGTTGTTTATGCTCCAGCAGGGAGCTGACTGCTGTTCCCTTCCCACAAAGGGCAAAAGACGCTGATTTTTTATTTTTTTTTTTCTCCCACTTGTCTTGCATCACAAAAGGCATTTGTCAACCGTTACATAATGGCAGAATTTGTCACTTTTTCTCTCTGCTTTTTCAGAGGCAGCCTCGTAGCCGGCGGGCTCTTGTGGCTGCAGGTTGGTGCACACTCCCCGGCACACACCGGTGCATCCCGATAGTGCACGACACAGTGTGACTAATGCTTGTCACCCACCATTTGGAGGTGCTTTTTTTTTCCTTTTTTTTTTTTTTTTCCCTCTTTGGAAAGGATAATGTGGAATTCTCTGGTTTTTATTTAGGGTGGAAAAGCGATTGTGGGGGGTATTTGCTTTTTAATACTTGTTCCAAGGTGGGAATGGGGTGCTGCCCTCAGCCACGTGCCCTGTGGGAGCAGCGGGGGCTTGTCCTTAGCCCAGACTGTCCCCCGGGCTTGGTTGAGTCTCCAGGAAGGGCCATGCTGGAAATGGAGCTTGATTCACCCTCTGCAGCACTCACGAGTCTCAGGGAGCAAGAACGCCTGTCGCCGCCTGCCAGTTGTTTGGGTTTTTTTTAATATCTCCCAATTAACCTCGGGCGTCTCATGCTAGCAACAAGAATTTGTGTTTGAGGTTTTTTTTTACTTTAAAATCAGTTTGATTTCCTTATTGTTGGAATATCTTTTTAGAGCCTTAAAAATACTACAAGCAAAGCCCGCGCGGCCGCCTTCCCCGCTTCTCTCTGGCTGGAAAGGAGAGCGCTGTTTACCTGCGGCCCCAAACTTATTTCTGGCCTTATCACTGCCAGCTATCAGATGACCACAGCTCCCTTTTTAACACGAAGCAAGTGGTGCTCTGGTAACCCACCAAGGTCTCAGGTCTCTCCTCCTGCTGTTTTCTAATTTACTTAAAACAATTTCCTAGTTGACTCTTTTTTTTTTTTTTTTTTAAATTGTAGATCTGTTTTTAATTTCTTTTTAATAAACTTCTTAAAGTAGGTGTTTCTTGTGGACCTTTGAACTTCCTGGTATACTCAGTCTTTGCTCAGGAGATATGTTTATGGTTGACTATGAGTGTGCTTAAATGGGTTAACCCTTCAGAGTCGGTGTTCTCAGGAAAATGTCCATTTAAGTTTCCTTGTGTAGCTGATGCTCAGGCATAGAAATGAGCTTTGGTGAATTTGGCGTTACTTGTTTGTTTCAAAGTTTAACTCTTATATCATCAGATAGAACTGTGAATCACATTTGATGTGTTAAAGCATGACTGGAAACATGGGATCAGCAAACAGCTCCAAAAATTGTAAGTCATGGTGGTGTGGACACCAGCTCAGGAGGGCAAGCTGCTGGTGGCAGGGATGGCTCAGTGCCCGAGCTATGGTAGGAACTGGCAGTATTTGCAGGATTCATGGCCTGTCCATAAACACTTCTCAGTAGCAGGTTTCTCCCTGGACATGGATCAACCCCTGCAAGCCCCATGGTACAGTCATCCCCTTAAAGTCAGCACAGCACAAACACCTCATGGGGTATTAACTTTCCTGTTTGCTTACCAGGAACTTATCCATTTGGTTGTTCTTGATGTACTTATACAGCTTCTGCAGCTGCTTGGCATCCAGCTCTGAGAAGAGGGAGACGAACCGCCACAACAGCCTTGGAAAGACAGACAAACAGATTGTGCACGTGAGTACAAACTTCATCCTCTTCCTCATTCTGCTCCCTACTTCTGGCTCAGTGAGTGTAACCACTGATATACCCTTTACAGAGCATTTTTTTCTCTTTCTCTTTTTTTTTTTTCCCTCCCCAAAGCTTATAAATTTTTAAAGAAGTGCTGTTCCCTAAGCATGGGATGGGTTACCCATTAATTGAAGTGGCCATGTAGGAGCCCCTTCACTTGAAAGCTTATAAACTTTTAAAGAAGTGCTCTTCCCCAAGCATGGGGCGGGTTACCCATTAATTGAAGTGGCCATGTAGGAGCCCCTTCACTTGCAAAGGGATGTTGCTGGTGGGCAGAACATCAAAATTGGCCTTGCACTGGACAGGACGAGGTACCACATGGCCTCTGGCTCTGCAGGAGCCCGTCACACTGGGAACATCACTGGTGCTGGGTAAGAGTAGACCCTTACTTCTGCCAGTGCTTGACTTCTGAGGCCCTGCAGTACTGCTGGACAAACAGATCGATGCGCTCCCCGATTATGGTCAAACTCTCCTTCATATACTTCAGTTTTTTCTCTGAGGGGTCATGCTGGGGCAAATGCAGTTTCCGAAGTGGCTTCTTAAAGGGTCTCAAAAGCTCCTTGCACTGCAAAGAAAGAGTGTTGGCATAGGTGTTCCGCACTCTACATTCAGATCTCAGGCATTCCTTTTCATTAAATAAACTGATTAAATGACTGGCTGGGAAGGTGCTGAAGTGTTTTGATAAGTGTCTCCTGCATGGACATGGGGGAGCTCGTATAGGTCTTCACCCCTGTCAAGTGCTCCCACTGCTCTGCAGGAGTTGCTCCTGCATATTCCAAGGTTGGTGACACCCCAGGTGAAGCATGTCAAAGGTGACATGAAAAGGGAATTGAATGATTTCCAAGACTGGGAATTCCTTTTCAATATTGCAGGGTGAAAGGTATAAATTTCAGGCTACAAACCAGCTGCCTTTCTGCAGGGAGGGGAAAGGGAACTGTTTTACTGCTTTTTCTCACGCTGCTTCTTCCTGTGGCCAGACCTGGGATGTGTTGCAAATGTTTGCACGTGATGCAGGAGTGTGTCTGGATGCCCTCCCTTTTGTCCATCCTTTTTTTTGGTGTCTGTTACACACACTGGGCTGTGACTGGGGCTGTTGTGTGTTATGCTATGATGCACCAGGAATGGGACAGTCATATCCCACGGTGAGGGGAGGATGTTGTGAGATGGAGCTTTGTGGCTGAGGTCTAAGTGATGCAGAGGAACCAAACCACCGAGGCCAGGGAGTACGTGGCGTCACGTAAAATGATGATGTAGCAGTACTTGTTTTTGAAAAACCAACCAGTGTAGGTGAAATGGGATTATTTTGTTATCGTTGTGGGCTTTTTTGTGGGTGTGTTATGACCAGGAATGGGACGATCATATCCCACGGTGAGGGGAGGATGTTGTGAGATGGAGCTTTGTGGCTGAGGTCTAAGTGATGCAGAGGAACCAAACCACCGAGGCCAGGGAGTACGTGGCGTCACGTAAAATGATGATGTAGCAGTACTTGTTTTTGAAAAACCAACCAGTGTAGGTGAAATGGGATTATTTTGTTATCGTTGTGGGCTTTTTTGTGGTTTGGCTGTTATTTTGTTTGGTTTTGCTTTTTTTTTTTGGAAACTACAAATGTGATGTCCAGATGGCTGGAAAAACAATGATGAGGTAAAAAACATTTAGACATGGAAGACAGCTACAAAAGAAGTGTCTTGTTCTGCTTATTTGCTCCCTCTGCCAGACTCCTGGGTTTTATTCACTCCCTTTTTCTCTCAAATGTGAGATGCCACTGAGTTTTTCTATTGCTAAATTCTATTTGGTGTCTCACAATTTTAAAGGTGTCCTGATCAAGGCCGTCTGAACAGCAGATGAGCGGGGTCTTGCCTGGTGGAGAACTCTCACTGCCAGTTACAAAGGCTGCCTCCTTCCCTGTGCCAGCCAGATCCTTCTTCGTGGTCTACAAATTGCCAAAGCCATAGGTTAGTCTTTCACTTCATGCAAATCTTGCATCCTCTCTTTAAAAAACTGCCAAGGACAAACCCTGCCCTAAGGCTCAGAAGCATTTCTCTTCCTGCCAGATCATTTCAGATTGGGTTTTCAGAGGTGCTTAATGAAGCCGGGTATTCAGTTATAATTAAAAGTCCATAAGAATTAGGTGCCTACTTGAAGTCCCTTTTGGAAATCCTACCTCTAATAAATTACAAGGTAAACAATGGCCACTCGTTCCTAATGGCATTAATCAAATATGGGCTGGCAGTCACTTGTTAAGTAGAAATATGTGGTTACAATGAGCCCATTGTAACGCCACGCTGCTCCGTCCGCAGCTTTTATTGATGGCAAAGGCACCAGGGCTGACCTGCTGCAAAGCCACACTGAAAACAAACCAAACCCCTCAGCCACCAAACTTGCAACTCCCTGGGCTGGGGAGGGCGATATTTTCTCTTGCAAAGGGCTGTTTTCCCTGTGTCAACATTTGTGTAGGTAACTCCTCCACTCATCTTTTGAAAAGCAACATTTATATAACTGACTTAAACACAAGCTTATGTTGCCATTTAAAACATGCAGAAGTGTGTAGGAAGAGGAGTCCTTTCCTCCCTGACATGCTCTGCAAATCTGATCCCAAACCACATTTCAGAGGAGGAACTGAAGCTGGACTCTGCTTTGCTCTTTCTATGGGCTGATCTCCCTGCCTGTGCTCACCTGGCCAGCTGTGCCGTCCCCGCTGCCGTCCCTTGCCCTGGCTCCATCCAATTTGTCCTCAAAGCCTGTCTCCTCCATGGGACACAGATCCTCTCTCCCTCACTTGCACCAAGGGAAAACTGCCACAGAGCTGTGTGCACACCAAACTGTGCTGGAGTGACCAAGGTGACGAGGATGCTCGGACACCGGTTCCGAGTTCTGCCAACCATGGAGACTCCTCCAGCCCCACAACACTGCTGCCCTCTGGGGCAGAGTCACCTCTCCCCACCAGTTTTGCCATTGATTTGTGGTCCTAAAGAAAGAGGCAGAACACCCTGGATTTTCCTCTTGCTGGTAGTGATCAGGATGTTCAATGCTGCCAAAGGCTCCCACGGGCAATGGGAGGGAAAGGTCCCTTGCTCTGCTTTGCGTCTACAGGAGCTCGGTGGAGTGCCTGGGGGTCTTGAATGGTGCTGGGTTTGCACCTGCAGCGAGTCCAGCACCTGTAACTGTGCATCAGTCTGGATTATTTTGGCCTCTGAAGGAGGTGCAAAGTGCAGCTCTGAGTCACACACGTGGCTGTGTGTCCCACTCTGGCTATCTGTGAGTGTGGGTGCAGCTCCTGGCACGAGCAATCGCAGTTTTCCACTATGGCTGGGGCATCAGCAAGTTCAAGACAGGCTTTTCTCCACCTCTGTGGTGTGGGGAAGCACTGGCCCCGACACGGGGGCCAGAGAGCCTGGCTCACATGGGGCTGGGGATGATCTCCATAACAAAGGCAGTCCCATTTGATGGGGAGCACTGGTGCATCCAGGAGAAGGGACTTTGGACCCAGGTGTTTTTCACACACAGGTGTTTTTCAGGGAGCTGGTTGGAGTTGAGGCCTCAATTCTCATAATGGTGTAATGGAAATTCAGGGTTACCTTCTTCACAGATGACACTGAAAACCAACCACAGTGAGAATTCACTCTTCCGGGTAACATCTCTTTTAAAGCTCTTTTTTTTTTAGAAAGAATAAATTGCACTTGCCAGGAAGAAATCTGAAAAGGCTTTGGAGTTAAAGGGACTTTGGTTTAGAAATTTACTTCAAGGCAAAATGCTTTCACAAAGAAAAATGTGTCGGGCTCCCATCATGCCCTGACCAGTCAGACAAGTGCAATTGTTTCGTCCCTTGGACAATTAGTGTAATTGCTGCAGCTGTGATTCAGCTGTGCTCCTGTGCCAGGTCGCTTCTGGCACTGGGAGTCATCTCCAGGGCTGTACAAAGGCCCCCTCTCTCTCTCTGAGGTCCCCTGGGGATGGCTGTGTGGAGGAACCCACACGGCTCGTGGCAGAAGTTGGAAAGCTTTTGGTCAGGGGTTTCTCAGTGCCGCCGGTGATGCTGAGCACCCACGGCGCCAGATGCCGGGTGCAGGTAGAAGCCTTGAGAAAAAGTACCTATTGATGGGTCTGGAAACAGAGACAGGTTCTTCTTTTCAGGCTGTCTTAGGGAAGGTTGGCCTTTACCCATGATTGAATTCAATAATGACAAAAATCCATTAAGACAAGCCCTTCCCTGAAGATGTTTGCGGCATTTTCCCCTCCTGTGTCTGCTTTCTTCCTCCCCCACGTCTGAAATTTTGCTGTCAGCTCTCTGACGCAGGAGCCTTGCACAGGCTGGTGCTGAGCAGATGCAAAGACAATTATCTTCTAATGCTTTGCACTTAGCTTTGTTCTGACCATCTGAGGTACGTTACAACTTGTTTAGCCCATACTAGGATTACGTGGTATGTTATATATTACTTAATAAAAGGTAAGCTGTGCAGAGTGAAGCAGCAGTGACAGCACGGGTAAGTGTACCTCTGCCGCTTCAGCCTGGTGGTGAGGACTACACTAGAGGTGGTTTGGTTGAAGGGGATGTTGAAAATCCAGCCAGTTTCTCAATGTCTATTACCAAATGCCCTCTTGCTGCGTTTGCTGCCTGCAATCGTGACATCTGTCCCCAGCGTGGCAGGAAGCTCCTCTCCTTTTCACCTCCAAAGGTTTCAACCCAGAGGTTGCCAATTTATGTCCTCTCCTCTCAAGTCAGGGTATCGAAGGGGAGCATGTTGCTGGCTAACAGGAGCACAAGAGAAATAGAGCTGCTTCAGCACAAGCTTTCACGTCCGTTAAGAGCTAGATTAAAAGCCATTTAGGAGCTTGAGGGACATATGACGGTTGTTAGCACAGGCAAAACCCATATTTGCATGGCCATATCTGTGTCCTTGCAAGATTACAGCTTCCACAGAGCATGTGACTACAACATGGAGAGGCTCTCTTGGCTTATCGTGTGTACACTTCGCTGCTTCAGAGGAAGAAGGCCTTGAGTTCTCCTTGAAAATCCCAGTCTTTGTTCGTCTACCTCTCTATGTACTCAGAGTTCAGCCAAAGCCAGAAATATGCAGGCAGGATGCACAGATGGACTTCCCTGGCCTGTCTTCATCCGAGGATCTTGCTGTATTTACAAGTTATCCATTGAGCTGGTTTGCAGCAGAGCAGTGATCTTGTCTTCTATGGCATTACTCAGCACAGTAGCAGAGCAGGAAACCAGACAGTTGAGGCTGTAAAATGCCTTTTTTCACTATTGAACTGTACGATGACGTTCAAAGCTGTGCTCTGACCGCTGAAGCTATAAACCTTCCCTGGCTCTTGAATTTTTTTTGGAGTCAGATTTCAATTCATTTTGTTCATTGTGTAAGGTCTTGTGGACGAGTCCACTCCTGTGAGATCAGGCAAGAGATGTGCCTTTGAGGCCTCAGAAGTCTCTGGCTGCATCCCATCCCCCTGCTCCTCTGGAAGACAACATTAATTTCTACTTCTAAACCTCTCATGTCGGAAGATGGCATAACCCAGACCACATCTATGTAAATTTATTGGATTATATTGCCTACTTACGGGCAGGAATCCTTTGAAACAGTGTTCTAATTGGATGGGGAAAAGTCAGGAGCACAAACAGATTATAAAGCTCATATTTCTCCCTGTGAAGGAAAGGGAGCCGAGGTGCCAGTCAAACACGCTGTACTGTAACACTGCACCTTAGGGAAAACTTTTCCTTTTCCCCTGACAGCTCTTTTGTGGGGATTAATTTCTGCCACTTGAGTGTCTTAGTCTTCCAGGAGCTGTGCAAGTGCAAACACTAACCAACTCCTCGAGTACAGCAGCTCTTGCAGTGTGAGAGTAGGCATGGAGCCACAAAGGAAACAGTTGTGAGGATGCTCTGGTTTTGCTGCTGTTTGTTATTTGCTGTTTTAGGCAGATTTAGCCCGAACACCACGTGTGATGTGATGAGTCAGGCTGCATATAATATACGCAGGCATCTGATGCAATATTTATTTACTGGTAGGTCACAGGGAAGGAGAGCTGATAAATGCAGATAAATATACAGGTATTTTACATTATATACTTAAACCAACTAAATGTACACGTGATTTAGTTAAACATAAAACCCAAACATAATTACTAGATGTATTGCAATGTAATACCAAAAAGGAATTGTAATGAAGAATGCTTCCCAGTAACTTGTTCCTACCAGGAGGGTGGCGAACGCTTCATTTGATGGAGTGATTAATGATGCTCAGAGCAACTGCTCAGACTGTAGGGGCGGAGGCTTTGCTAATTGGATCTGGAAATTCCTTTCCTGGTGCTTAAGGATGATGAAAACTTTCACAGCCAACTGGAGACCTGTCTACTTACTCCCTGCAGTTGGATGCCAAAAAATACAGCCTAAGTTAATAAATCTTGTATTAGGGGAAGAGATCTGAAAGAGAATTTGGGCCTAGTTATTGTTTCTATGTGGCTTTATTAGAGGCATCTTAATATACCATAGGAGTCCCTTTCTGGCAAGTGTTGGGAGTTGCTCATTTAATTGCTTGTTTGAACTAATGTAGTTAAGAACCCAAACACAATTTGTGACCAGTGGTGTGTAGAAGCTATAAATACATCTGTGCCTTTTTCATCTGCTTCTTATAAAATCTGATTGGGGTGTTCCAAGTATTCCCACACTGGAAGACACTACTACCCAACCCTTCCACAGTGCCCGAAGTGACTAACCTCGTGTGCAGGACAGCTCCTTGCCAATAGGTGTATCTTCAGATGTTCTTACATTCTTTTATGCTTCAACAGTTTTGTAGATGCTTGTCTTTAGCTTTTCAGCCAGATGTTAGTGCGCTTATTAATGGTGTTTGCTAATATCATATAGTGATTTCTTTTTTTAAGCTGCTTGAAGTCCTCAGGAACCAAAAGAGCATTATCAGCTTTCTCCATACTTTGCAACTTGCAGCCTGTGAGAAACAGGATAGTTAAAGGCTTTGTTTCTTAATGGGCTTTGTAAGTTTTCAGGTTTTTATGCAAATTGAAATAGGCATTGTTAATAAGATGTTAATAAGCCTGTCCCTTTGCTGCTGCTTATAAAATCAAATCTATACCAAGTTGGACACCTCTTAATATTTAGATAATTTAAGATAATTTAACTTCTTTTGTTAATCTTTTGGATCGTGTACTACAAACTGTGATAGGTGCTATCTGCCTTGTTCCCTTCCCTCTCCCTAGCAATTTTGCCTGCTATCTTAATAACAAATAGAAGAAGCCTGGAAAATGATGAGACTGGAATGCCTGTGCCAAAAGGTCAGCTCTGCCTGGGGAATGTGGGCAGGGGTTTGCTCAGGATTAGCAAAATGTGCAGAGAGGCACCGAATGTATAAGCCAAATAGAAGCCCACAATGTAGAGGTAGGGAGCAAAAAAAAAAAAGAAATGAAGGAGAGGTGGGAGAACCACTGCTTGAGAGGGGGCTTGAAATCAACAGCGAGGGAGAAAGGTGGACACAACCAGGTGGGAACCCCAGTTGCTCCAGGAGCCAGGGAAAGAGCTCTCCTAGTCTCAAAATGGAAGAAAACAGCCTGAAGCAGAGAGAGGGGGAGACAACCTGGTAGAGAAATGCCCATCAAGACAAGAATGCCTTCAGGGAGGCTGTACAGAACTCAGTGATGCTTTTTTGCAGTTAGATATAAAGAAAATTAACTCCTGGGAAAACCCCTGCTGGTTCAGAGAGCAAAGTGCCAGCCCCCTTGCACACAGCTCTCTGCTGGGGAGATAAAATGAGGAGCTTGCAGATCTCCTTCTGTGTGTGCCCTGTGCCCTGGGCATGCTGCGAGCCCTCCTCAGCAAACAGCTGCTCTTCCACGAGATTTCTCCTCTTTCTGCAATGGAGAGGAATAAAATAATAAATCAGAAAATAACAAGAACTGTAGAGGAATAAAAAAGGGATTTTCCTCCCTTCGCAATAAAGAAATAAAATGTCAGGCCACTAGAAGGGGTTCTCCTGTCCTGTTTTTCTTCCCAGTCCTGAGGTTTTTCTCTGAACAACTCAACGGGGAAAAACTTTTGCCATGTTGTCTGTGGGCATATGAAGAGGATGGAAAATAACAACTGGTCAGAGCGTTTGGGGCTCAGAGCCAGGAGACTGCCTGCATCGGGTCTCTCCCCTCTCTGAGTCATGGAACCCTCAATTTCAAAGCCTCCCTTTACAGTAGAGGCTCTCCAATCTGTATTTTCTTTCCATCTTTCCCCTGCTCCTTTAGATGTCTGCCTCCAGTGATCTTGTTCTTTGCACAAGAGCCTCAGACTGGGTTCCTACTGCAAACAGTGCTGCTGGGCTGGCTGCCTGCTGGCACACAGTGTGATGAGCCTTCTGGGCACATGATGTGTGCCAGGGCTAGGAGGGGTAACAAAGTTCAGTCTCCTGGTACTACTCAGGTCTCATCCCTCTGTTGTCACCGATGCCCTTTTCATGCACATCCCACCTTGCTTTTCCTGTCTTTATCCTGCTCCTGTACCTGTGCCCTTCATCGCGCTGCCCTCTGCCTGACCCTGTATGCAAGAAGGGCAGCCAGCACTTGGAGTATTTTTAAATTTCTACTTAACACTTACTTCAGTTTATGGGTTTTCCAGAGGAAGTCAGGTTTGGGGGGGTATTTTTTTGTGTGTTCATTTTATTAAAAAAAAAAACACAAAAAGAAAAGAAGCAGAAAACAAGGAAGTTCCCCTCCAACATACAGAATGTAGCTATCAAGAGCAGTGGCTTCATTTCTTTTTCTTAAAGCATTGAACATCCTGTTATTCTTAAAATAATAAAAGCAAAAAAGGTCAGCCTTCTTTATTTGATGGGTTTCAGTCTCTTGTAATGATAGTGCAGTGGAGTAGCTGTAGTGAAACGTAGGCTCTGCTGAGATAGGCAGAAGGGAAAAAAAGCAGTGCAATGCCATTTAATTTCTGCAATGTTCTGATTCCCTCCTACCAGCCTGAAAATGCTAAACATCATCCTTTGTCTGGCATATGGGGACTTGGAGAATTGTTGCTAATTACTGCAGTTGTGCTATCTAGCTTAACTGGCTTAAATAATATATTAAGTGCTTTTATGATCTTCCTCAACACGCTGGAATGCAAAGAGGTGCATTTTATGCTGTTTATACTTTATGGCAGGCATAACTTACGTAACATTAATCTGCAGAAAAAAATTGGTTTTGATGATTTATTGCTTGTATAATTCACAGCCAGGGCTCTAGATGATAAGATCGCTAGGTGCTGTGCGGATGCAGGACATGCATCTCTGTCTCAGATGGTGGAGTCTCATGGCAGGGAAGGAGGTTGTGGGTGGCTACAGGGAATGGTGGGGCCAAATCATAGAATTGTCTAGGTTGGAAGGGACCTTTAAAATCATCTAGTCCAACCATCAACCTATCTCTGATAAAAAAAACATCACTAAACCGTGTCTCTAAGTACTATGTAAACCCGTCTTTTAAATACCTCCAGGGATGGTGCTTCAGCCATTTCCCTGCACAGCCCATTCCAAAGCTTAATAACCTTTCAGTGTGAAAATTTTTCCTGATATCCAATCTGAACCTCTCCTGGTGCAACTCAAGGCCATCTCCTCTTGTCCTATTGCCTGTGACTTGGGAGAAGAGGCCAGAATGACTCGGGATGCCAGGCAGAGGTCTCAAGACATCCCTGGTCACAGCACAGCGGAGCTAACATACGTCTGATGGCAAAGGCAAAGAGTGTGGGATATGGAAGAGGATCACAGGAAGTTATGATCTAACGTATTTGGGGAACATTCTCATTATTTCAATTAGTATTTAATATGAAATTAGCAATGGGGTACTAAGCATCATATCTAGAAGTGGGAGTATCCTAGGGTCTGGGTTAGTGCTTACCCAGGAAAAGAAGAAAGGCACTATGTTAGCTAAAGAATCTTTTTTTACCCCCTTTTTTTTTCTAGCAAAAATTCTGTTAGCCATCTGATTCCACCCAAATCCCTGTGTCTCTTGCCTCAAAATCTCAATTTTCTATTATCTGCTATTATACCTAGTGTTTAAACAAAATGTGAGAAGAGTATGCTGTGAGTGTCTTGTTGCTGGATCTACAGTGCTGAATAATTACAGAGCGGCTGAGCAACACAAGCCAGAGGCTCGAAGAACCTGGTAAGACACATGTTGGGAGGCAAAGGGAGCCATAAACCACAAAGGCAACCAGTGATAATGATGAAAAGATTGGCACATTCTGACCTATTATTTGGTTTAGTTTGACATAGCTCTCTGTAAAGTCACAAAGGCTGTTAGAGTATACTAGTAATTAGCAGAATTTCACCTATTTGAAATTAAAGCATCGTGCAGGCTCTGCAGATTAAGAAAAAAAAATAGTAGTTTTTTGTCTGGTTTTGCTTGCTAGTAGCTTGAAAATAGGGAGGTGAGAAACTTGTGTCAAATCTTGAAGTATAATTTTGCAATTAAAAGACTGAGGAGAAAGTGTGATCTGAAGACCTTCAGTTTCCTAGCTGTGACATAAAATTAACAGCTACCTTCATTCTCATTCTGTTTTAATATTCCTGCAGAGGAACAAGCAAAAAGAACTCCCTGGGCTGGCTTCAGTGAAATGGAGGAGCTGTTACTTAGACAATAACAGGGTATGGGCTGGGAAAGGAGTGATTTTTTTGGTGCTAGCTGGCTAATGTTCGCACAACGCTTTGGATGCTCTAAAGTGATATATATCTAATGCTAAAAATTGCGAGATGCTCTCTGGGAGATAGGAAACACTGTTTAAAGGCATTTTTTGATTGGCTACACAGAAGATTTCAAGGTCATACATGCACCAGCTTGCAGGGATGCACAGCTGGTACCTCATCGCTAAAACCAGCAGAATCTCAACTAGGAGGCTGTTACTTAACTGTGTGGATAAAAATGGAAGGATAAATTGAAACTACCTGAAAGTGGAAGAAACAGCTGGGAAGTGATAAGAGAAAGAGAAATGAGAGGAGAAACTCTTGCCCATCATCGTGGTGTCCAAGTGCTATATAACAACTTCAAATTGCTCCCTTCCTTGAATGTACCAATTTTCTTCAAGCTGCAACAATTTGGCAACCTCCAGCTATTGGGAACTTGTCTTCTACTGCTGAGAATTTGCTCAAGAGTCTACTCAATATTCCAGGCCTAATTTTTGATATAGTAACTGAAAGGAGCTGCTAGGCCAAAAGCTCTTACTTGAGTAGCTGGGCTTCTAACCAAAGGGAGAGTGAGTGCCAAAGGCTTCTATGGGTCACTTAACAGTATGCATATGTTTTTGTTATATAAAACAAATATTTAATATAGTAGGCAAAATTTTGATTAACGCCTAATGCCTTACCTTGCTGCATGGGTATAATCAATCCACAAAAATGGCTAGGCATGACATTGAAGCAGTTATTTGTCCAGCAGCGATATGTCGTGTTTGGTTTTGAGAGGCCCTCGTAACACATCAACAGCCACTGCGTGTTCAGCTGAAGTGACAGCTAAACAATCTGGTCATCTGCATCCTGTTGTGGCTTGGTGCTGTATTTAGGGGAATGAGGTGTGAGGTCGTGGTTTGAGCAGATGGCAAGCCCTCAGACTTTTTTTTTGTTGCCTTGTTGGCTTGATGAGCAGTTCTTCATTGACTCCGGACAGATTACAGGCACCATACTATCTTAGATAATGCTACTTGGTGAAGAAGTTAAAAATCCTTAATTACTACCAATACCATATGACACCGTAAAATAGAGGCCTGTTATTTTAATGTCTTTTTTTTTTTTTTTTCCCCTGTCTATAGGGTGTTTGGAGTGTCCTTAACTCAGTGTAACTTTTGGCTGAGGATCGGTGACAGTGTGTCCATACCAGCAGAAAAACATGTGTGTGTGTTTGTGTGCACACACGTTTGTATATGTGGCTGTCCAGAGCTCTCTCACTGTCTGTGTTGTGAAAGCACTGAACTGAGACATCACTCTGTTGGCAAGGTCACGAAGGCTGGCAGGTTTCTGTGTTTGGGGATGTCTTTTGTTTGTTCAGTGTTTGAATCGTGTGAAACCTTAATTGGCAAATAAGAAGCTTTGGCCTTCCCTTCCAAGATCTGAAACGGAATTAAGGGAAGTGCAAGGATGTGCCAAATGACGTGACAGTGCTGGCTCTATGGTTTTTGTTTTACTCCGCTGCCCCGCTGTTTTGAGATGCGCTTTCCGTTGTATCAGCTGCTGGCAAAACATTCATGAAGTTGTTCCATGTTTTATGCTTTGGTATTGCTTTTTCTGTCTACAACAATCAAACCGCTAAGATGTTGGAGACCCTGTGTGCAGCAGCTGTTGAACTGAGAAGAAAGAGGCTCTTTCTTTGAAAGGGAAAGTTGCCCTGTTGTGCCACAGCGGTAAGCCGCTGCCTGCTGCGCGCCGGGGTTGCTGTTGCGCTCTGGGGGCGATGCAAGGCATCCTCTTTCTGCAGCACCATTTGGATTCTTCTGAAATGGAGTAAACGTTAGTCACTTCTTGCCAAGCCACTCCTTTCATTTGATCTTCTGTTGTTAATTATTTGCACTTCGTCTTGTCACAACAGTTTTTTTTTTTTTGCTGCTGAGGATGGAACTGCAGAGAAATCCTTTACTTCCATTCCAACGACACGGTGGTTTTCTGTCTACAAAAGAGCACAGCATTGCTTTTATCAAACATATTTCTTTTCCCCATTGTTTCCTGATGACAGATACTACTCTTAATCTACACAGAGACAACACTTTGAAATGGGAGATCTATGTTCCCATCAATTTTTGTTACGTTGATAAATCATAGCATGTCTCCCTTTCTGAATGACATGCTTCTGGATTTAGGTCTGCTTTTTTTTTTTTTCTTGTCACAGTTTTTCTTTTTCAATGCTAGCAACAGACTTGCCAAAGCTCTTCTTTTCCTTTAGCGTTCACTCCAGCAGGCTGATTAATTCTAACACACTTTTCCCCATATATGGCGCAATCAAACAGGTTGATAGAAAATCAGGAAAGATGTGATATTTATAAAAATTCCTAGTGCATTACACTTACCTTGTGACTTTCATTAATTGTGGCACCTTCTTTCTTCTGGGCTGGAGGAACGTCAGCAAAGTCTGCCAGGAATAAAAACAATGTTTTTTACTGTTCTTTGTGGGCCTCAAGTGTGATTGTATCACCCTTCCACACACAGGGAAGATTTACTTAAGAGAACATCAAGAGTGGAGGGTGCCTTATGGTGTTTTCTTGTGCGTGTTTCACAGGCAACTGCAGTAAAAGTAGGGGATCACTTACCCATAAATCTTAAAATAGCTAAGTATGTGGGTGACGTACCTCATTTTCTTTGGTTGTGTAGATAATGCTATTAATAACACGAGCTGAAATTATGTATTGAGTAGTAACACAAGCAGCAATTCTGAGTGGCTTTAAACCTGTCATGAGCTGCCCAAATGAAAACATGCAGCGGGAAGTGGCTTAGCGAAAATATTAATTAATTTTTCTTATATAGGGGTGGCAAGATTAAACAGAGGGATGCTTCCAGTTCCCTTGCTTGTGTCTTTTCCTGTAGAGCACTGGGAACTTGTGTCTTTTCCTGTAAAGGACTGGGAACTGCTGTCCAAACCCCTCTTCCCACATCTGCTGCAACCTGATATACAGGTATGGGTTTTGCTACACGTGGGTGTGCATTGTGGGTCTCCCGCCGCTATTGCTTGCGTAGCAGCAGTTGTCACCTCCACGCTGTACTGTCACCAGAGCTCAGCCCTTTGGGGGAGAGGGACACGCTGTTCTCTCCTGCCTTCTCACCCTGCTTGTGTGGTATTGACTCATCAGAAGGAGGAAGGTATGAATGCCCACTGCTGCTGGGAAGTATAGGTGACGACTGCCAACCCAGGGGGAAAGGGCCTGGCTGTCATGGCAGAGGCAGCAGGGTCAGGGCAGGTGACGAAGGGCTTATTCAAATAAGTCATGAGAGTGCTGGGAAGTGGGGATCGATAGGGCAGGTGTAAAAAGAGAAGTTCCCTGGTGCTGAAAATAAAATAAGGGGGGAAAAATCCAAACCATCTCACCCGGAGAGTCCCCTGGCTACACCACACTGCCACCCTGGTGAGCACTGCGTTCTTTAACACATCCCTTCAACAAGGGGGATGATTACTGGGTTTGCAGAAATCCTCTCTGAGTATTTGTTGTTAAAAAATAAACATAAAATTTATTAACATAAATGGATAATGTTAAGAGTTTTTTTTATCTGCTGCTGTTAGTTACAGTGACCTTAAAACTGAATTCTATAAGTATTACATTTATTTTCTTCTTTCTCTCTCTTTTTTTCTTTTTTTAAATTCAGCTTTGACCATAAAAGCCATGGCCTTTTCCCTGAGATGTTCTGCTACAAAGTTCATGCTGGCAATAATGTGGGAGTACAGCTTATATGGTGACAATGTGACATAGGAGGGTCCTGCTAAGAACCTGTTTTGGTTTGGGTTTTTGTTTTTCCCCTGGTTCATATAAATCTGTAGCGAATGTCATCCCTTGACTACTATTCTAAACCACTTGTTTCCTGGAAAATGTGGGATGTGATAAAAGTTGCAATTTGCATATGTAGCTCTGTTGTTCTCTGAGGAAGCCTCTTGTATTTTCCCCCTTTCCCTCCGACAACATCAGATTAGATTAGCAGATAACGATGCGAGGTATTTTTCTCATTCATCAGTTCATTATAATTAGAAAGATATGAAACCATTTAGTTATGAACACCGCAGGCCTACAGTTTACGAATACTCTTATTGCACCGTGATATCTCTCCCACCTTCTGCTCTTTTCAAATATTTGAGCTGTGCTCTCCTGTTCTCCATTCAGGGCTCCCTGTGAAGCAGCAAGGGGGAAAAGTTGTCTCGTGTTTGTACAGTGCCCAGTGCAGTGTGGCTCAACCCCTCACTGGGGGCCATAAATGCAAATTACAGATGATAATCGGCTCTTAGAGTCCTTTAACAAGTTTCCTGCCAGACTGATGTGTGAAGATAGTTCTGTTAGCTGTGTTTGTGTTGGATATTTGGGATCTACATTTCAAAAGTGCATAAATGTCTTAAAAGAATAAACCCTAGTGCAGTGAGTAGGACTTGTCTGACCAGAATCCATCAAATGCAATTATAAATTCTACTCTTACCTTTCTGTTCTGTGGCCATTTGAGAAAACGAGGTTTTCTACATGTTTCTAGCATGGGACTGGGGTTTTGTTCAGGTTCAGGTTTTCTTCCTAAAAAAAAGAAAAAGCTTTATCAAGTTTAAATATCTGGGATGCCCAGGGTGGACTTCCCCTCCCTGCCCTCCAATTGCTTGGAGCTGATCAGGACAGACAAGGAATGGTTTCTTAAATACAGGACAGGCTGAAATGCTGACCTTTGACATGTAAAGAATGATACTGTGAGCATTCACAACGGTCATGTATTTTCCTAGTCACAAATTTGATTTCAATGACCAGAAGTTCAGTTGCTGGAGTGATAAAAACCCCAGAAAACTGCCTTAGTGGGTTTCGAATAGACAAATTCCTGAAGATGACACAGCATGTTTTAGCAAAGTTCTGCTTTTTGTAAATAATCCATAATAGCTATGGGCTACTATTCTGAGGAAGCACAAAATGTAAGATCCCTTCTGCTGTATTTGACCTAGGCCTTTGACATGAGTTTTCCCATTCATCTACAAATTCCTCATTCCCTCATGCTATTTTACATTTTTTGTGTGTGTTGAGCCACCAGTTTCTCTACAACACTTCTGGCAGTTTCAGCTTTAGTTTTATCTCTCTGGTGCTTTTTCATCTTTGTGCTGAAAACCCCTTCAGTCCTCCTTCCCAGTCTTGTACTAAATACAAATACTAACAAGTAGCCTGATGGTTTGGTGTTTTGGTTTTTTTTATCATCTTCAACATAAAGATTGCAACTGTTCTGGAGAATAGAGCATGGCATTTGCATAGAATAGCACAATACATTTATATATTTTGAAGTAGCTTGCAAAAAAATATAATCGACTGATCCTTAAAAAATTAATAATATTCCAGGATGCGGGGGGGGGAATAGATATTGGGGAAAGAGAGGCAAAGATTTAGAGGAAAATAATAGAGCAGGGCCTAGAACTTGCATTGTTGGTTCCTGTTTCTAGTGAATTTTAAATCAGGAAATCCTAGGGACTTCTACCGCTCTTCTCAGAAATGTTTTTGATTCACTGCAGCAGTTCCATTATTACTTGGCTTATCTTTTTTGAGTTCAGGCTTTTTCCATGCAACTGGAAACACCTTCTCCTTAGCAGATGCCTGCTTCAGCCTTGGCTGAAGTCTGCGTGACTCTTTGTCCCCTGTCCCTGGTAGCCTTGTGGGCTGCCAACCACCCTCCTGGTGGCTGCCAGATGCTCTGCCAAGAAGGCAACGTTGCTGCAAGCCTCCTGCAGCTTCTGTGCAGCAGTAAATGGCTGTTTTTCCACAGATACTTGACAATGATGCAAAGACACTTAAAGATATTTCCTAAGTGCTTATGAATTAATTTGTGATTAGCGAATAATTAAATAAATCACAGCAATCAAAAGGACACGTGGCCAGTTACAGTTAATTTGCATATATAGCTCTTTTCCACCAGAATAGAGGAGCTAAATTCATCTAATACAAGTCTAAATTCACTGTATCTTAATTTGATTTACCTTTGACATTACATTTTAAATAGTAGCAACATCTACAATCTTATGCTCCCCAATAAGGCTTCATTAAAAACTTACTGCCAGATCTAATCCATGGTTAGCATACAAAGTCTTATCTCCGGGTTCCTGCTTCAATGCCTTTGAGAACATGCTTAATTTAATCTGAACAAAGACACTGCCATCGTAAGCCTCCAGTCTGATTTTCCAATCTAGAATATCTTTGTTATTAAATTTGGTGCAAGCCATGGTGCATACAATGGATCAAGTAAATTATTTTAAAGCACTCTTTGAACAAAATTCTACTGCTTGTTAGACATCATTTCTATCTCTGGGACATAAAAGAGATGTCACTTTAGGTTGGATTTTTTAAAATGTCACATGAAAATGCAGTGTAAGTCTAAACAACTTAGCTAGCTGTGAAAAGCAGAAAGCTTTAATGTATTATATTTTTAACCATTTTGGAAAGTATTTTTTTTTTTAATATGAATTGTTAACCATCATTCCAATCCATTTTCCTTCTTCTAGAGGAAGGACCTCCTCACTAGAAGTTTCTGCTTACTCATTTGCATCAAATCCCAAGTCAGGTGTTTGTGACTTTCCCTTAAGCTGGGATGGTGGCAGGATCTGACTTGTATTTATAATTTTAGACTTTTTTTTTTAATGATTTAGCAAGTGAACTAGTTGTCATTAAAAACTCTACACTGCCTAATAATCTCTGCTGCCTGAGAACAGGGTTTGTGTATGCTACAAGTAGAGGTTCTGTGAAGACATTAACAGATGAAAAAGGAAAGGTTTTGCAAAGTGCTGGTGAGGCTTTAGTTGAAAATGGAATAAATCTGGTTATCTATACTCAAAAAATGATCTGGAACTGGCATAGAGTGAGTCTGCTAAGAACAGGTGGAATGATGTACTTCTACAGAGAAAGGCAACTAGAAGAGGTTACTTTGTTGAGGTTTTTTGGAAGCTGAAAAGAGATAGATGGGTTTCGGTAAATACACAGAGAGGGATGTTGGTAACTCACCTGTGTTGCAACCTGGAATTGAGTAGATGCAGGACAGCAGTTATAAACTGTGGTGGTTGGAATTGTATTGAATGGGAATTGTTGTCCTGGCAGGTTCCTTCACTCCTATATGTCTAGATGAAACAGGCCTGGGAGTGTAATATCAGTTCCATCCCGTGCCTTGTTACTTGGGGGTTTGCTATTAAGGAAAGGAGACTTAAGGGAGGTGAGGCAAGGATAAGTAGACATGGACAAATCGGCATGAAAACTAGAAGAAATCGGTGTGAAGCTGTCTTACAACACCATTGTGGTTGCTTCCTGCTCTAATTGCTTTCTGTAACTGCTCTGGCAGTTTGGGTCTGGCTGTATCCCAGCGCAACTTGTTCCAAGCAAAACGGGACTCTTGTAGCCTTATCTTTGCAATTCAGAGGAGTAACCAAAACATGAAAAGATTATTTCTAGACATAAGGTCACCCAGGAATACCACAGTGAAGTTGGGAATTAAACCCTGTCTCCTCAGCTGCGAGTTAATACTTTTAAAAAGTGATCCACTGCTAATGGAACATGGCACAATGAATACCCTCGTTAGAGGCTGGAATACTTCATTTAATCACAAGATAAATCAGTCTTCTCCAGCTGTTTCTAATATTGCCAACTTATACTTTTGATTGACATGTTGCCATGTTTTGTTGAATTCATTCTCTCGAAGATTTTAAAGAATTTATATTGTATCTAAATTAAAAGCTGCTTGGCTGAGGGACTGTATTGAGATAAGTAAAGGTAGCATAGGAATAAGAGGATATAAGGGAGCCGTATCCTCTTTACAATATAAGTATGTAACAAGTGGCTGGTGGGTGAAGTATGTTCCCAACAATTTCATTTATATTTTTAAAAAGCACTTTAGCTGCCCCTTCACCCCCATATTTTATATTCTAGAGAGGCAAAAAGGTCCTTTGTGGCAAATTTTATGCTTGATTGCAATAATTATATTCTTTGTCACAAATCTAAGAAAATAAACAATTCTGATGATGGCAGAAGAAAACAAAAAGAGGATTTACAAAGCCTAATTCATTTGTGGTGTCTTTGCACTTTGGCAGTAGTGTTACATGAGGAGAAATTTGGCCTTCAAGCCAGCTTCTCTGTAAGCTGCATTCCTGGCTTGCGTATCAGATATGAAATTTGTTTGGAATGTTTGCTATAAAAATACCTACGCGTGAACTTACATCAGCGAGAAAGCGACTTCGGCTTGACCTTTCCTCAGCTCTGATGTGGTAAGATCACTCAGTACGGAAACCGTGGCTTAGGGAATGACTCGCCACTGCTGTTTTCACAGGCTTTCTGTGCAGGAACAATCCTTGGAACGAGCTGCCCTTGGAAATCAGTGTTTTCTTTCAAAGTCCTTATTTTCTGCTTGGGAGTGACCCAGGCTATGTTACCAGGCTTAATGTTGTAACAAAGCCATTTGGGAAATCCTCCCATTCTGTGTAAGTATTGGACTGAATACTAAAAGCAAACATGCCGAAGAACAGCAAAGGACAGAGGTATTTCTGATCCTTTTACAATTCAGTCCGTGTTTCTGTTTCAGACATTGAAAAAGACATTTTAATAGAACAGGAACTTCTTACTGTCACCCTGTGCTAGCAGTACGTCTCCTCAGAGGGCCTCCTGAGGTGAGCCGCCATCCCCTGAGGTATGAGGGGGCTGAAGGGACGAGGCCCGGGGTGCAGACCCAGGGGGCTGCCGTGGGGGGAAGAGGCCATTTCACCCGGCTCCCCGTCGCACCGCGGCCTTGCGCCTCTCCCCTCAGCGCATGTGTGCGCACGGAGGAAAAGCGGGGTGGTTTTTTCAAGCGCCAAACGCCGAAGCGGAGGGAGGGCGAGCTCTTCCTCACAGGCCCCTTCCTCTCCGCGCCTCAGGGCCCTGAGCCACATCCCGAGAGGCCGGCCCCGCTCTCTCCATCCTCGCTATCCCGAGGGACGCGGTACCCCCTCAGTTTGCCGGGGCCGCTCCCCTCAGCCCCCCCAAGTCCCCTCAGGGAAGGCGGGCGCCGCGCGCCGGGACCTTTGGGCGGGAAGGAGAGGGGGTGCCGCGTCACGTGACGCGGAGCGCTCTCCCCCCCCCAACCTCCGGCGCGCGACGCCCGTTAGGAGGCGCCAAGGGCGGCGGTGCCGGAACAGGGCGGCCCTCC